GATTAAGAGAAAAAAAAGTGAAATGTAAAAATAATACTAACAAAACCAACAATCATTTTAAAATGTAATTACAATAAGGGGGAGACAGAGGAATAAAACCCAAGTGAAACAAGTGATGCACAATACAATTGCTCACCATCTGCTGACCTATGCCCAACCTGTCCCCAAGCACTGATTGGTGGCTAATGGCCAACTCCCCCCAGTTTGTATACTGAACATGATGTTCCATGGTATGTAAAATCCCTTTGGCCAGTTCAGGTCAGCTGTCCTGGCTATGCTCCCTCATAGTTTATTGTGCACCTCCTCACTGGCAGAGCATGAGACACTGAAGAAGCCCTTGTCTTAGGGTAAGCACTACTTAGCAACAACCAAAACATCAGTGTGTTATCAACATTATTCTCATATTGAATCCAAACCACAGCACTGTACCAGCTACTGAGAAGCAAATGAACTCTGTCTCACCTGAAACCAGAACTGTATTCACCCCTTATTCCACACTATTTGTGTCATGCCAGGTCCCTGTTACAAATGGAGATGAGAGTTTAGACAAGTCCTGCCTTTGACTCAGATTTCTGGTAGTAGCTCTTTTTGAGGTGGCCTGCACCCCAAATGGTTCTTGCTCCCAAGTTCTTAAGAATGGCAAATTAAGTCTATTTTAAAATGAATTATTTCTTGAATAGACACAATATTAACTGACATAAGACTTTAAACAGACTACTTAATACACAGGATAAAGCAAAAAGAACTACTAGTAGATAAAATACAGTGCATGATAAAAGGTGCCTAAATTACATCTAGTGAAGAAATAGTATAGGTTAGGAGTCAATGTAGCTTATTACCAAATTGATAATGGAGTACACATAGAATCCTTTCACTCAGTTCCTGGGAAAGTAACCACAAAGTTTGCATCCAAACTTCGGAGAGAAGTCCTACATGTTTCCAGAGTGTGTGTAGGAGACTTCTGACTTTGTGAAAGTTTGTGTAGCTTTTATAGTTTGTAAAGTGAATTGTCTGTCAGACAGAAATTCCAGCTTATCTCCCTACATCCTGCTCTCAAGGCAAGATGTTTATTGTATCCCATCTGGTGTCAGAGGTAAATCCTTACTGGACAAGCCTGTGTTATCTCACCAATTCATGTGAGGGGGAGAATGCCTGGAGCTATTGCACCAGCTGATGGATAGAACAGATAAGCTCTTCTGTGGTAGGGAGGAAGACTTATGTACATTCAGATTCCTCAGGTGGTCATGAACCTGATCTTCTCTTACAGTGGGAAGGACTTTGCTCCCCCAGTCCCCATTCTGCTGTCCATCCACTCAAGAGGTGTGGGAAGAGAGGTTGCCATTGAAGACTGAGGCAAAGAAGTTGTCAAGTACCTCAGCCTTCTCTTCATCCATTGTTACCAGTTTACCAGTGTTGTTTATTGGGGGGTTACACATTCTTTGACCTTCCCTTTCTGGTTGAAATAACTGTAGAAGCCCTTTCTGTTGTTCTTTGTGTCCTTTGCCAGGTTCAGTTCCAGCTTCACCTTGGTCTTCCAGCTGATGGATAGAACAGATAAGCTCTTCTGTGGTAGGGAGGAAGACTTATGTACATTCAGATTCCTCAGGTGGTCATGAACCTGATCTTCTCTTACAGTGGGAAGGACTTTGCTCCCCCAGTCCCCATTCTGCTGTCCATCCACTCAAGAGGTGTGGGAAGAGAGGTTGCCATTGAAGACTGAGGCAAAGAAGTTGTCAAGTACCTCAGCCTTCTCTTCATCCATTGTTACCAGTTTACCAGTGTTGTTTATTGGGGGGTTACACATTCTTTGACCTTCCCTTTCTGGTTGAAATAACTGTAGAAGCCCTTTCTGTTGTTCTTTGTGTCCTTTGCCAGGTTCAGTTCCAGCTTCACCTTGGTCTTCCTCACCCTATCCCTACACAACTGTACTTTGTGTCTATATTTTTCCCAGGTCACCTGTCCTAGCTTCAATTGTCTATGCATTTGCTTTTTTCCCTTTAGTTTGACCAGCAGTTCCCCACTCAGCCATGCTAGTCTCTTGCCTTCCTTGCCTGATTTCTTTTTCCCGGGGATCACTAGCTCTTGCACTCTATGGATGGCTTCTTTAAATGTCTGCCAGGTCTGTTCCACTCCCTTGTGCCTGAGGACAGTCTCCCAGGAGATCCCACTGACTCTCTCCCTGAAGAGCTGTAAGTTTTCTTTCCTAAAGTTCAGGGGCCTAACTGCTCCTTACCTGACCCATATCCCTCAGGACTATGAACTCCACCAGTGCATGATCACTGCAGCCCTGGCTACCTCTAATGTTGATGTCCCCAATTAGCTCAGTTACGTTGGTGACCAACAGATCCAGTATTGCATCCCCTCCGGTAGGGCTATTACCTGGCTCAAGAAGTTATCCTCCATGCATTCCAGGAGTCTCTTGGATTGCCTACAGCTTGCTGTGCTACTTTCCCAGCAGATGTTAGTGTCACAGGTAGAGTGGGAGCTTCAGACAAAGTTTATTAGAGAAGCCTTCCCATTGAGTCACAAGGTGCAGAAAGGACTGCCTTGCTTTCTAAACTCCTTCTCAGAGAGGAGCCTGAGTGTGGCTGGATCCAATCTTAGCCCCAGACTTTGTCAACGGTTTAAGTCTAAAGAATTATAAAGGTGTAATTGAACCTATGTACAACTTTGCCCTGTGGGATTAAGGATGGCAAACCAGATATATAGATATAGATAAATTTATTATTTATTATGATAAACTATTAGACAAAAATATCTTAATCAGAATTATTTACTACATGGTATAGAAGCTAAAACTACTAGTATAATATAGTATACTATATTGAAGCAATTATGTTAAAGCTACCAAACCCACCCAATTTTTAAGTAGAGACTGATGTTACTCACCCATACCAACAACTCTGGGCTCTTTCTTTCAGCCTCAAGGAGTAACCATGAGGGGCACCCTCACCCAAGGGAGGAATCTTCATACACACTCCAAGAAAGAGTGTGTTAGAATAACCTGCCATTTGAAAGTGGGACTGAACTTTTATCATATAAAGTGATTGACTGTCAGTTATATGTCTCCAGGTCAACTGTGCCAGCTTAGCGTTTTTAGCTAAGGATACTTTACCATATCTGCTACGTCTTCACCTCCATATCAGGATGCTTAACTTTGGGAGTGATGAGTCAGACTGACTGTAGCATAATTCAACACCAAAAGCAGCATGATATCCCCCTCTTAGTTCACCACTGATAGCTTTGCAAAATAGGGCATTGTTCAAGATGTTTTACCTGCTCATGGCTGATCTTCAGAGACAACTCTTCACACTCAATCTGCTTCTTGATGTAGAAGGCAACCCATCTGCCTCTCCTTCCTCCCCCATCTCTTCTGAACAGTCTTTAGCCATAGATAGCTACACTCCAGTCATGGGATTCATCCTACCAAGTTTCAGCAATGGCAACAAGGTCATAGCTTTCTAGCAGCACGGTGGCTTCTAATGCCTCCTGTTTGTTGCCCATGCTGTGTACATTGGTGTAGAGGCACCTCAGCTGGGCTTTTAGGTGTGTTGCCTTCCTAGAAGAAGACCCCTTAATTCAAGATAATTTTCTGGTGTTTCCCTGTTGGCTTTTATTAGCTTAGGAGTCCATGGCTCATCCCTGTAAGACTGCAAGTGTGTTCCAGTGTGGCCACCACACTTCAGAGCCAGCGAGGTCGATACACTACAGCTGGGCTATTGATTTCACCCCCAACACTGTCATGCCACCCCTTAACTCACCTCTGCCGAGCCTGGTCTTTTCCCCTCTCTCCTTCAAACCTAGTTTAAAGCCCTCTCAATCAGCCCTGCCAACTCACAGATTAGAATCCTTTTGCCCTTGCTAGACAGGTGAACCCCATCTGTTTCCAGCAGGCCTGCTGTTGTATAAACCACCTCATGATCGAAAAAGACAAAATTCCACCGATAGCACTGATCTTTGAGACACATGTTGACCAGGTGGGTTCTCCTGTTCTTTTTGGCATTTTTCCCTGCTACTGAAGGAATTGAGGAAAACACCACCTGTGCTCCTGTCCCTTCAACCAGTTGCTCCAATGCTTTGAAGTCCTTTTTGATTGCCCTAAGACTTTTCTCAGCAACCTCGTCGCTGCCAACCTGGGCAGCCAGCAGTGGGGAATAATCAGAGGGCTGAATCAGTCCAAGGAGTCTTCTGGTAATATCCTTTACCCGGGCCCCAGGGAGGCAGCAGACTTCCCTGTGAGATGGGTCCAGTTGGCATACCAGGTCCTTGGTTCCCTTCAGAAAGGAGTCACCCACTACAGTTACCCTTCTTTCTTTCGTAACACCCATAGTTGGGATCCGTCTGGTTGACTGACTTGTTCTGGTCAGCCCTCTAGGTAGTTCTTCATCTCCACTATCATCTGCCTGATCCTTGAGTTCAAGAGCTTCATACCTATTCTGTAAGGGCACCTGGGAATGAGAGGGAGGCCGGAATGGGATTCTCCTACCTCCTGAGTAGAGACCTGTTTCCATTCCCCCCCATTTTTTTAGGTCTCCTTCTGCCTGATGGTGAGAGGGTCAGGGCTTCTCCGACTCTTGCTGAGCTTCCGTCCACTGCATTTTTTTCAGGGGTGGAAGGGTGTGACTCCACCAATGTATTTCTCTCTCACACTCCCTGATACTCTTCAGCCTCTCCACTTCCTCTTTAAGTTCTGCCACCAGGCAGAGCAGATCATCCACCTGGTCACACAGCACGTAGGTGTTGTCTCTGCTGTCATCCGATGTTACCAGGAGTACATGAGTATTACTTAAATGGTGCATTGTTTCAAAGGAGAGCATATGCACCTGGTGAAGCTTAAAGTATCCATTTTTACAAAAATGTTGATTGGCAGTCTATTACTGAGGTGTAACTATATAATTTTATGTAGTGAGGCAAGATTTATGTGGGGTTTTTTCCCTTCTTGGTTGACCTAATTTTTATGAAGTTTCAATATTATTTTTCTTCTGGCATTATTCATATAGAAGTAGATCTGGCAACAGATCACTGTCAAGACAAAAGGACAGACGAAGATCCAGAAGTCCCCTGAAAAAACGGTCTAGATCTAGGGAAAGGTGGAGATCAAGAAGTCGCTCTCATTCTTGGTGAGTTCCATTCCTTAGAAATTATACTGTTCATCTTAACTCATAGTACAACGATTTTGAAAAAAATCTTAACAAACCTTTTAGGTGATGGCAAAGGAAGCAATCTCTAAATGCTTTAGCCTGTCCCAAGGCTTTTTTTGTGAAACAAAAGAATAGAAAGTAAGGTTTTTTTGTGTTCAGTGTACAGCTTTTGTCTGTGATATAGTTAATTTTTTTCATAGTAGTTCATATGGTGCCTTCAGGGGTTAAACCACAACCCTGAGGTATCTAAACTTTGATACCAGTCTAGTCTGCATTTATACCAACATCAAGCTGACTGAAAGTAGGTAACTTAATTGTCAGATTTTAACCAATGAATTAGGTATGTTCTGTGTAGCCTGTGCTACAAAAATGTGAATGATGCTTCTTCAACCTTGTCAGCAGTTATACTTTGGATTCAAGCTGAGCTTGATCCTGCATTCTAAGAACATGTATAAAACTTTTGTGCACGAGATTGTCATGCCGGTGCGTGTGACCCCGGGACCAGGTCAGCCAGGAGCATGGTAATAAATAAAAGGACGAGTGCAATGGATTTGCCTGGAAAATAAGAACCTTTAATAACACACGTAAATAACAAATGTGGAGAAGCTGTGCACAGTACAAGGGGCAGGATCCAAAGACCTAACAATGGGGCAAACAGAATTTTATCTGAGGGGCAGGGCTGAGGGGACAGGATCTAACCAGGGTAGAGAACAAAACATGACTAAATAAGGAAACTGTAGTAAATCAGTCAGAGGGTGGGGTTCAGGACATGGCCTTATATGGAATGGCTTACTTTGCATAAGTATTCCCATCATTCCATGCTCATTCCATGCTGCTCGCCCTAACTTAACAAGATGTTTCCCATGGCCTAAGGTTAATGTTTTCTGAATAAGCCAGTGGGGCCATTCTGCTGTCCATCCCAACCAGACCCACTCCAACATGAGATATTTTTTTTTGCCTTTGGCTATTTCATATTGGCCATACACTACTGTAAGCACAAATGTATATGTCTATTATGTAACATATTTACATTTCAGCATCCAATACACCTTTATTTTGCCTAGTCCATTAATTTTTAAGTCTGATTATCTAATTATTGAACTGTGAAATTCCAACAAAATAATTCCTTTATCTCCTTGGATGATAATGTAACTTTCTGAGGGGTAAAATAGTGAATATTCACAAAACAAAAGTGACTGTAAAAGTAGCTTAATGAACAGAAGCCTTGGTACTTTTCTTTCTGTTTCATCTCTTTAATTCCCCTGACTCATTTAAAGGGAGCTTCATACTTAGGTTTTCCAGTTGTTTTCTGAGGAGAAAAGTTTTGTGGGAAATAAAACTGCAGATCTGTGGACCTCAGTGGGAACAGTTAGGAGGTAGGCTACATAGCTGGGCTTAATTGATAGATCCTTTTGACTCTGTTGCTGTCTGGGGCTTCTTGAGATATCTGCTCACTGGAAGGACCAAATCCAATGAAATCTCTGTGATAAATTACTAGAAGGTGCTTCTTGGGTCGTTGTGAAACCCTTTGCTATTGCTGGGACTGTGTGCTGTTTCATCTTAATGATCTTACATTTCGTATGTGAGACATCCAAAGAGGTATTTCCCAAAACTTGATGGGAACCAAAGTCTTCAGGTCACAGACCATGAAACAAGCCTACTATTTATTAGTAGCCAAACACTTGTTCCAATGAAAAAAGGTGGGGGCTGTGTGTATAAATATCCTAGAGGCAGGTCTAGGAGTCATGTGTCTCCTTTGTTAGAAAGATGGTTTGGGGGTCTCATGCTTCCAAATAATCCTTTACCAAAATGTAGTGTTTCAGTGTCTTGGTTTGAAAGACAGGTGTCTACCAAAGTAGGTGGGAACCTCCCTTAGAATGGAAAAGTTGACTCTCTTCCCTCCAAATTATTATAACTTTGAAATTAAGGGGCTTTCAGGCAAAGATATGGGAAAAGAAATAACAGTTCTTTACTAGTATGTATATGTATAACAAGGCAAACAAACAACAATAACTATGGCAGCAACAACAAACAAAACCAGAAACCCAGTAACAGCCTTCTCTCGGCTGTCAAGCACTTTCCCCTTTGGTGTAGTTATGGTCACAGCCAGCAGGGATGCTGTTGGCTCCTGGCTGGGCGGGGCAGGTGCGAGGATTCCCTCGCGGCTGCAGGGGGCACTGTGGCACGAGTTCAGATACATCTCTCGTGGTGATGGCAGGCGTGCAGATGATAAAATGGACTGTAGGAATTGGTCACAGCCCCAAGCCTGACTGAGTTCAAGAAGCATTTGGACAATGCTCTCAGGCACATGGTGTGGTTCTTGGGGATGGTGCTGTGCAGGGCCAGGAGCTGGATTTTGATAATCCTTGAGGATCTCTTCCAACTCAGCATATTCTATAATTTTATGATTAATTAATTTTTATTTGGCTTGTCTACTAGAACATCCAGTGGAATTTTTCTCACTGTTTTTATAAACATGTATCATTCTCCCTATCACAAAGAAGCTGACTTGTTCTGTTACCTTGCTTCTGTTTTTATGGTCTTACTGATTTTTCGATAATTTTCTAATTCATAATGGCATTACAGATAGTTGAATCGTCTTGGTTGAGTTTTTACCTTACATTTACCTTTTGAGGGAATGTGGTGAAATTTTTTCACAGTTTTTTTTTTGTTTTTGTGTATTAATTGATGTTGGATTTCCAAGCAGTTAAAAGATATTTATGTGAGAGAACACCATAGAATAAAGACTTCAGTCCAGTCAGCTGTCATTATTCACATGGGTGTGGTTAATCTGCAGTCCATTTTACATGTACACCTATTTAGTAAAGAATGAGCTTACAATTTGTAGAGTTTGTCTCACTCCTGATAAAATGTAGAAAATTTATGTATGTATGGTAACGTAGCTGTGAGGTGAAAAGACATTCTTTCAAAGTGTAATGATGTCACTTTGACGATCACAGTTTGATTTGATTTTTGTCCCCTCTTTCCCAGTTTGGTTTCCAAATTTTTGCTATCTATATAGCCTCTCCCACATGGTGAACAGGGGTGACAAATGAAAATTTTGAATAATTACTATTTTTCAACAGAAACGTGTATTTTGTCTTGAACAATTAATGTATGCTAAAGAGTTAGTTGTAATTTTTATTGGAAAGTTCAAATATTAATTAATGGATTTGTGTTTGGTTTTTCACAGGGACAAAAAAAGAGACAAAGAAAAAGTCAAGGAAAAAGAAAAGGCCAAAGAAAACGAGAGAGACCAAGACAAAGAGAAGGAGAGAAACTGGGACAAAGAAAAGGAAAGAGAGCGAGATAAAGAGAGACACAGGGATAAGGACAAGGAGAAGGACCAGGAGAAAGAACGGCATAAAGATCGAGAGAGAGTTAGAGGCAAGGATAGGGATAGAGACAGGGACAAGGACAGGGAAAAGAACAAGGAGGAGAAGGAAAAAGACAGAGAAGAGGTAGACCAGAACAAGGAAAAATATGATGTTATGAAAGAGGGGGAAAAGGATAGAGAGAAGATTAAGGACAAGGAGGGCGATAAGGACAGAAGGGAAAAAGGGGACAAAGAAAAGGAGAAAGATGAGAAGAAAGAGAAGAAGGAGCAAGAAAGAGAAAAAGAGAGAGATGATAAAAAAAAGAAAGAGAAGAGATCCAGAACACCCCCAAGAAGCTATAGCTCTTCAAGAAGATCTCGTAGCTCCAGCAGGTTTGTTTAGAATTTTTTAATGCTTTTTTGGACTTGTCAGTACAGTGATGCACCATGTAAAATGCACATCCTAATTTTTATGTATCGGTATCAACATGCCACTTACCAATTCAATTTGTATTCTTTCTGTTTTTTAGATTTCCCTATAAAATAAAATCTATTCCAAAGAGCTCTATATGATGCTTGATGGAAAATAGTTTATTGTTGGGCAACTGATACTTGCCTTTCACATTACTGTATAGTATAGTCCTTGAGGACAGTAAGTAGATGGTTCTTATGCCTTTTCACTGTGCTGGAGCCATCCAAAACTTATGATAGAGGGACATTAAACACCATCTTTGTCCTAATGAAAGTTTGAGTCACTGGTACATAGTTTCTTCATTACTTACATACTCTACAGTGTTGGTCTGTAATGGAATTTGTTTGGCTTATGAACAGTTGGATGGTAGTATTTGCCACTGGGCCACCTTAAGGATGGCGAGCAATGAATTTTCTTGGCTGGATGGCTGAAGAGCAGGAAGCAAGCATGTTATTTGGCTGACTAACCATTCAGAAAGTGAATGTATGTATCTCAGTTGAAAAATAAGGATGCCTTGTTTAGTTGATTAAATGTCCAGATGCAAGTAAAAATTAACACTTCTTAACCATGCTGATAGTAAACAGGAAAGCAGTCAAGGTTAATCTAGCTGTTGTTTTTGCCTGTGAGGGAGGGTAAACTGAGTGGAAGTCTGGGTAAATTCAATCTAGCAAAAGGAGACTGTGAGATTGATTTTAAGCTCTGTAACTGGACTAACTCAAGCATATTCAAAAGCATAGCAGCTAACTTAAGTTCAGAAGCTTTCCAGATACTTCAGCAATTATGGAGTTCAATAACATCATGTGACAAATTTAGATAGAAAATTTTATGTTACCTTGAGAGAATGAAATGCTGGATGAATTGGGAAAAGTTCTACATATAATAATCACTTCCCTGGACAAAAGCAAAATTTTCATAGCCCTCAAAATTCAAGAGTTTATGGTTCATATAATGCAGAAAAAACTGTAATGGTTTCTGAACATTCTGTTTGGGTTATATGAAATGTCCATGCTGTTCTGGAGGTTTATGGGCAAAATATTGTGGCTTCTTTAAACATATACAGCTTCCTATTTTAATGCATTGTTAACATTATTTCATGGATTGACTACTTGCACAGAGTAGAGGTAGTTCTGTTAGCTTTGGAAACAACGATTTCTGCATGTATGTATCAGGAGTCTTGAATTAGATAATTAATCGTGCTGGACTGACCTAGGTTGAAAGCCAGGTGCTCACTAAGCAACTCTATTGCTCCTTCTCCTCAACTGGATGGGAGAGAAAAATACCATGAGTTGACATAAGAAAGGGGAGAGATCACTCACCAATTACCATTATGGGTGTGGTAGGTTGACCTTGGCTGGATGCCATGTGCCCACCAAGGTGCTCTGTCACTCCTCTTTCTCAGCTGGACAGGGAGAGAGAATAAGATTAAGAACAACTGATAGGTTGAGACAAGGCAGTTTACTAAAGCAAAAGTGAAAGTTGGTATGTGCACGAGCAAAGACAAAAAAAAAATGTTAATTCTCTACTTCCCATTGTTATAGGTAAAAATTGATCCAGCCAATTTTAATAAAAATAAAATGATAAAATTTATTTGTGACCGATATACAGTCCTGACTGCCAACAATCAAAGGCAGTGGTAATTTCCACTTACCTTCTTCTAGTCTCCCCCCGATTTTCTCGTACCCCTCGATCTCTTTTTGAGAGGGTCGTGAGGGATATTCTTGTACCTCTCCTCTTTCAACTTCTGGGGTGCTTACCTGTAGCAGTGCTGCGTTTTTAGCCTCCTTATCAGCTAAGTTGCTCCCTTGGGTCTGAAACTGTACTCCCGCCTGGTGTCTTTTTACATGAACGACCGCAATCGCCTCTGCTTTTTGCTGTAAAATGCTCCTCACATTATGAGGAGTAAAAACAACTAAAGGTGCCCCAAAGGTTATTTTCTTAGCCTCTTCCACCAAAACAGCCACTGCCACAATGGCTTGCAAACATGTAGGCCACCCCCGGCTAGCAGGATCCAGTAGTTTTGATACATACCCCACATACCCCACAGGTTTCTTTGACCCTGCCCACTCCTGAGTTAGCACTCCGTGGTCAGTATGGTTACTCACGTCCACAAATAGTTCAATTTCTAATTTTCCCGCTTCTCCCTTTGAATGCCAAACCTTAGGACTGATTTTTCCCTCGTCCTCTGTAGTTAGTTGATACAAACTTACCATAAGCTGTGAGTCCTGAGCAATCAGGCTAATCCCCAAATTCACCATTAAATCCCTTTCCAGCAAATTATAATCTGTTTCTTCTACCAACAGGATATTTCCCAAACAGATTTTAGTTTCAGACTCTATTTCTACATCTTTTATAACTGGTACCTTAAAGGGTTCACCTTTTGCTCTGATGACCATCATGGAATCTTTGCTTTTAAAGCATCCACAAGGTAATTGTTGAACAGTGCTGTGCTCGGCTCCCGAATCAACCAAGAATACCAATTCTTCTTTCTGGGGTCCTATTTTTAATTTTATCAAGGGCTCTCTGGGTGTTATGGACCCCAAATTAAAAAGCCCCTGACACCTCTAATCCTCCTGAAAGATCCTTTCATCCCTCAGTCTCTTTTTACATTCCCTCTTAAAGTGACCTCTTTGCTTACAGTAGTAGCACTAAAGTCCATCCCCCTGCCTATTCGTGGGTTTCTTTTGGGAGTGGTTAGGTTTCCCTTGAGGTTTGTGTGCCTGACCCATCTTATCTGTGTTCAAATCCCTCTCGTGTTTCTGAGCTTCCCTTACCGCCGCCACCAAGACCTTTGCCTGTGCCTTTTGCTTTTCGTCCTCCCTTCTCATGTAAACCCTCTGAGCTTCCCTCAGTAATTCCTGTAGCGTCTTCTCCTGCCAATTCTCCATCTTTTCTAGTTTCCGCCTTATATCTTCCCATGATTTTGCCACAAACTGGGTCTTCAACATGATTGCTCCCACTGGGGAGTCAGTATCTATCCCTGAGTACATCTGGAGGCTTCTCCTTAGTCTCTCCAGCCACTCAGTGGGAGTTTCATCCCTTCCCTGGCACTCCCCTAGTGCTTTACTCAGATTTTGTCCCTTTGGAACTGCCCCCCTAATACCTTGTATAACCATATTTCTCAATTCTATCATTTTACATCTGTCTTCCTCCATCTGCGCATTCCACGAAGGTCTCTGGTTAGGCCATTTGTCTTCACCACTCCCCCCTTGAGGATTTCTATGCTCCCAGTCCTTTATTGCAGCTGACCTTATAATTTCCCTTTCCTCCACATTGAACAGCGACCTCAGGATAGCGCTGATGTCATCGTAGGAATATATGCTGTTCCCCAGGAATTCATCCAGTCTCTCCGCCACCCCCAACGGATCATCCATTATCTTCCCCATTTCCTTTTTGAATGCTCACACATCCCCAGAGTTTTTTGGCACGTTTACGTACCCAATAACTCCCGGAGCTGTTGGAACCTCCCTTAGTGGAAAAAGATTTTGTTGACCTTCCTCGTCCTCACTATCATCTAAGTTTACCTTTTGGGTCTGGTGTCTTGTCCTGCTAGCAGGCGGGGATCCGCTCCCACCTGTGGGAAGGGTGTGCCTTGTGTTCTCTATCTGCTGTGAGGGAGGAGGGGGCAGGGACGGTTCTTGTGAGTGCTGCATCACCGAAGCCTGTCCTTGTATAGGTAAGGCTTCCATTGGCGGTGCTTGTGGTAACACAGGCTGGTGTGCAGGATTTACTGGCACGGGGAGAGGGAGAGGGTCTTGCGGTGTCGGGTAAGGGGGTGGGAGATTGTCCAAGGGTTCCCATGTCTCACCAGGGTTCGTCTGGTTTCTGTAGGTTTTAACCGGAAAAAGTCCCGTACTGGCATATTCCCAGAGTTGGGTGTACTCCCTTTCTTCACTTGTTGGCCCGGTCTCCTCAGACACTAACTCATCCAAGGCCCAGCATGTTTCCTTTTCAAAGGTGCCAAACATGGGCCACAATAGATATTTCTTAACCTCCGCGTTCGCCCATTTCTCCATGCAATAGTAAATAATTCGTTCCCTTGACCTCCTCCGCCTTGTCAGGCACTCCTCCCAGTGTTCTAACATCCATCCCAATGGACTATTCCTAGGTATGTCTGGTAAACAATACTGCCAGCTGCAGTTTTTGTCACCCTGTGAAGCAATCCCCTTCTCCCTTGCTGGTGTGATTTTAAGGCTTTATATTATATTATTCTAACAATCATATTCTATCAGCACGAATTACCATCATATCCATAACACCATCCAGCCAATTCCTGGGAAGCAAGGCATGTGTAGCAGTTGCTCTGGAAGTCTGTCACGTTAAAAGGGGAGATTTCCTCAACCCTTGGTGTGAGAAAGCTTAGTATTTAATTTGTCTGTAAGTGCCCCAGGAAAGCCGAGACCCCTGTGCTCAACCAGTCTGTCAGCATCCTGTTAGGGGGACCCTTCACTGAACAGTCCAACTGGATTGGAGGGTGACTCAACTGACTTAGTGAGGGAAACACACCAACAACATAAGGGAGACCCCTCAGCAAGTCTTCAGCTTTATTTGAGTATGTTATCCACTGTCAGTGCCCGTGAAGGACTCACACTAACAGTTTATGGAATAACACTTAATATAAAATTGTGACAGGTTAAGGTTCAAGGATTGTCAGTGATGGTATCTGACTGCAAAGATGTATTCAAAGCAGTACACAGACAGGGTCTCATCCCCATTAAATGTATTCAGCATGCAGAGTACGGTTCTTACCCAATAGGCATCCCTATGGGGAAAAAGACAGGTTCAGCCTGTTGACTGATCCCAACAGTTACAATGGAGTCTTCCCTAACTTTTCTCCCATTCTCCACTTACTTTTATATTATTTCTTTATGTTTAGGTGGAGCTTGAGTGACTCTAGTCATACATACCTTTATTACTGCTTGGT